GAGATTACAACAAGCAATTGAAAGGAAGCAGCCAGAATTAATCAATAGGAGAGATGTCGTCTTCCATCACGACAACGCTCGACCACACACATCTTTGATGACTCGGCAAAAATTGCGAGAGCTTGGCTGAGAAGTTTTAATGCATCCACCGTATAGTCCTGACATAACATCCTCAGACTATCATTTGTTTAGGTCTCTGCAGAACTCTCTTAATGGTGTAAAGCTAACTTTAAAAGAGGCCTGTGAAAATCACTTGAAGCAGTTTTTCGATCAGAAATCATAGAAGTTCTATCGCGATGGAATTATGGCTCTGCCCCAAAAATGACAAAATATTATATAGAAAATAATGGAGCATATTTGATTTAAATAAATTGATTTCAATACTCTAAGAAAAACACTTTAATTTTACTAAAAAATCGCCACGAACTTTTTCCCATATCCAATATTAATCAAACTTATAATTAGCATAAATTTCGCGAAACATATTGCGACATTTGATTTTTGTTCCAAGTTTTGCACATAACAAAAATATTCCAGACAATTTTCTATGTAAGCTATATATTTCCTCGGGTGGTGGACATAATCTATGATTTATTATAGTTGGCACTAAAACTTGGATCCTGCAATACATAATTATTATATGTATTATAGCCATTATGATATTATAGCCAGAATGGATACAGAAATAGGTTGAACATACTGTTTTGTTACATCTTGACCACCAAAATCATAATACTCGTGATTATTATCAAACACTTGTCCAAGAATCATGACTGCATCCACATGAGCATCCTCCATGATCTGATAATGTAACAATTGTTGTTCAATTAAAACTATATATGTATAAAAAGTTTTTAAAAATTTTTTGAGGTTGCTTAATAGAGAGAGATAAGATACCTTAGACTCATATCCAGTAAGAAATTTCATCTCTCGAGATAATTGTAGTACCTTATTACGATTTCCTTCACTTGCAGCATTAATGATTTCTATATATTTATCCATAAATATTTTGTCATATGTTCTACATGCTCCGAAGTCCAGTAAAATTAACTACAAAGATATATCTGTTAATACGCTTTCATGATTAAATTATAAATACATAATTACGATATAAAAAAAGACCTGTTTTGTATCAAGATTGTAAAAAAAATTGGACCAATTTGGATCAGTCTGCATGTATCGAAATTCGAATAATTCTTTTAGACTCAGACGCATGAGCAGTTCACTTATATGTTTCTTAATTGTAACATCCATATCTATACATTTGTCAACAGGTATACCTTCTATCATCTCTGTTGTAAATACTTGTTTTGTAGAGAGATCGTCTAGAAATTTAATTCATATTATATATAAAAAATTGATTCCGTAGATCTTTTTTTTTTATTTACCTATATCACTTACCTATTACTGTAGGCACATAATATTCCGGATAAGGTATTATTAATTCCTTATATTTTTTTGTACATTCTGCTTCCCTTGTATAATCCACTTCCCATGCCAGTTCCCGTTTCGCAACCTCTACTAGATTATCTATAAACATTCCCTCTGGAAACATATTCCACACCTGCAATGAACACACACATAATATATATAATAAAGTTTACAGTAAAGTTTTTTTAGGGATACACATAATACTGATCTGTGATATTATTACCTTCATTATGCCTACTAAATTTTTAATATCACTCTGAATACCCATAGCCACACCAGGATACTGAATCTTTATCGCTACATTTTGTTTATTCAATAATGTACCATGATGAACTTGTCCTACAATATATAATTATAGAAGAGATCTCTTAATCTCAGTATTATATATAAATATGAAAAGTAATAAATCAATATATACCAATGGATGCTGCAGCAAATGGCTTTTCTTCAAAGAACGCCAATTTATTTCTCCAATTATGTCCAAGTTCATTAGTTAACACTTTCTAGAAGGAATTATACGACACATTAAGAGATTGCTTTTTAATTTATATATTTATATCATTTATATATATTATTAATAATATATATATATATATATATATATATATAATTTATATATTTATATCATTTTGTTACCTCTATTTGCCAAGTTGGCATAAAATCAGCACTTTGTCTGACTCTTTCAAAAACTTTTTGCAATTCAGGACTTATAATAGTATTATCTTGGATGCTTAATATTTGACCAATTTTTAAAGCTGCACCTATATTTTTAATAAACTGATAAAATTTTCATATATGAATATACATAATACAATTGTGTATATCTTACCTCTTACTTTACATAACGTTGAAACTATTCTTTCTGCATTAGCTTTAGTAAGAAACATATTGTCAACTGTATCTCCAATGCTATGCTCCTTTAATCCCAATGTCCTTCGTGTATATTCTGCGGCAGTACCAAGACCAAGACCGATCCCTAAAGTACCAAAACTCACCATTCTTTGCAATCTTGTAGAAGGAACTTTTCTTTCTTTGGCAGTAGGTGATAGCTGTAGAAATTAAATAATGTATTAGTTAAAATGTGAATATAAATACATATAAATCAACTTAATAAAAATAGATACAAAAAATGAAAATTTATTTTTATGATACTTACGCATTGCTTTGGTCTAACTGATAATTTAGCTTTTGGTTTTTCTTTAGAATCCATTTCTATATGTATATTTTCTTTTTCATATGTTTTAATTGTAGAAGAACAAGCAGAGCTTACAATCCTGTTTTTAATCTTTTTCTCGTGTTCTAATTCCAATTTTCTTAAGATTTCTTTATCTTTATCAGAGAATTCTAAGTCAGGTATTTCATCTTTATCTAAATTACTAATAGTCTTGATTTTTTCCTTTATACTCATGTATTTTTTTGTTGTATCATTTTGCATGTCTTTTAAAGACTTTTGAGTTATAGATTTGTCAATATTGCGTTTTGGTAATATGACATCCCCATCAATAGGCAATTCTTTTGGATCTTTTGCAGTATTGTACACATATAACTTGGTTTCTTTCTTGAGGGTATAATCATTATTTTTTATATCAAAAGTTTGATTAGCTGTTACCTTAATATATTGTTTAATACCTTTCTCAACTACACTTATACGTTCAGTTATTTCTTTCAAGTCTTTTATTATCTGTTCCTATAAAAAAAAAGCAATTATAGTAAAAGACAATATATGTATTGTATGTTATACTGACACATTACTTAGATGTTAATCGCAAGACTTACAGGAATTTTACTTGGCTCTGTGTTAGTCAATGTTTTTCCTACAGCTTGTAAACACTTCTCCGGTATATCTTTTAAACTGGAGTGTGTGATTCTATATCTGATTGCATCCTCCTGATATTTTACGAAAGTATTCGTAACTCTTTGTACTCCTTTGAGTACATTAAGTAGATCGGAAATTTTAGATCGAGGCATTTCTGAGACATACGTGAATAATAATGTTTTTTTAACATACTATACTAATAATTTAATATACTAATAGTTTTGATAGAACATTTTAAAATAATGATAATGTGTAAAACTATATGCAGTGTATGAATTCTCTATCTTCGTTTCGTAGAACTGAACATTAAGGTTAGCACAATTTTGTAATGACATAAAATTATAATGATATAAAAAATACGAATTTAGTATTTTAATGTGACACTAAAAATAACTTAATGATGTAGATCATAAAAAATAATTCATCTATAAATAAAACAATTACGAATAAAATCTCTCGTGCATTATTCTATAGACACGTTTCGGTGTACACTATTGTACTACTTACTTATACGTTTTATGTTTTATGATTTCGTAATCTTAACGCGGGTACTTATAACATTGTATTGTACTTTCTTTGATTCCTTTTTTCTTTGATTATCATCTATCGGACGTAATTCAGTAACACTCTTAAAAAATATTTTTCACATCATTATAACACTTACAATTTTTATGTTTACAATTTTTTACAGAGAAATAAGTATCTTATATATTTTTCTTTTATTAACATTTTGTTGGGATGTTCAAAATTTTGTATTCACTTAAAATAAGATGACTAAACAAATTTTAAAAATTGTTTTATTTTCTTTACATACATTTTTCATTCAATTGGCGCTCTTTATGTAGAACTATTTAAGAAAATTTACAGAAATTTCATAAATTCACTAACATTTCTTACGTATGTAATGTCAATAATAATTACGAATTTAACGCGATGTTTTACAATATATTATTGCATATATATATGTATATATATGTATGTATATACACATATATATATATGAATTTTTTAAGAAT